TCCTTCCTTCCTTCCTTCCTTCCTTCCTTCCTCCTTCCCCCCCCTCCACAAACCCTACTCCCCACTCCCTTCTAGCACTGATGATGTTACCTAGTTGGAACGTCTACAAGAAAACCATCAAACTCGGAGAGAACAAAGGACCTCACAGTCCCTCCTTTCCTTTCCCTCCCTTCCCTTCCCTTTTTCTTCCCTTCCTTTCTCCTTCTCTTTCCCTCCCTTCCCTTCTCTCCTGTCTTTCCTTTTCCTTCCCTTCCCTTTTTCCTTTCTCCTTTCTTTTCCTTTTCCCTTTGCTCCCCTTCCTTTCCCCTTTCCTTTCCTCTCTTCTCCTCTCCTAACTTCTCCTTTCCTTCTCCCTCTCCCTCCTCCTCCTCCTCCTCCACAAACCCCACTCTCACGTAGCACTGAAGATGTTCCATAGTCGGGTCATGAAACGTCTTGTGCAAGAAAACCAAGCGTCTCACACGCATCTTCTCTGCTGCTTGTTTCCAGGTTGCAGCATTTATAAGCAACCCTGCGGTGCTGTCACCAGGGAGCAGGCTTAAAACAGGTGTGGAGGGCAGTACAGGTAGCAATACAGGTGGTCTTTGACTTATGACCTCAATTGAGCCCAGCGAGACAGGTATTAAGCTAATTTTGCCCCGTTTTACGACCTTTCCTCGTCCCCATTGTTAAGTGAATCACTACAGTGGCTACGTTAGGAACACGGTTGTGCAGCAAATCCGGCTTCCCCATTGACCTTGCTTCGTCAGAAGGGGTTCCCCAAAATCACGAAGCGGACTCCGCGTCCCGAAAAACCCCTTTGATTTGAGCTAAAGTGAATTCCTCTCATTCACATGCAGCAAAGTCCCGGCCAACAGTCTTTCAAGAGATTTTACAATTAGAGACCTTTATCAGGCTTGGAGAGTTGCCAGGCCGATATCTTCTGAACGCCACGCTGTAGCAGCAATGACTCGGCAAGAAGTCAGGAACAGATCTTCACCCTAATGATTTGAACTAATGGTCTCCTGCAAACCCCATTCCCCTTTTGCTCCTCTTTATTCCCTATGGGAGGGGCCAATCACTGTCCATTTGTGGCTTTACTTCCAAGTCGACCCTTGTTCCTTAGCTGTTCCCTTCTGGCAGCTCTGTGCATGCGCACACTGGGAACAGGCTCCAGCTGTTCTTCTTCCCCACTGATATCCGACTCCGAAGGCAGTTGATAACTGTCGGACGGCCCTGGCCCCATTTCTGCCTCTGACGCAGAGCCCTCCTCAGAGCCTTCCCCAGACTCCAGGACTGGCCCATAGTCCTCCCCAACCTCCTCACTGTCCGAATCTGCCCCCAACCTCCTCACTGTCCGAATCTGCCCCCAGCTCCGCTGGCCGCTGGCGGGCCACAAGAGCAGGTCACCAAAGGGGATAACATGACTCCAGGACATTGTGACTGTGATAAATACGAGTCAGTTTCCAAGCACCTGAATTTTGATCACACAACTGTAGAGATGCTGCAACTGTCCCAAATGTGAAAAACACTCCCTTTTTTCAGTGCCGTTGTAACTTCGAACGGTCACTAAATGGAACTATAAGTCAAGGACTACCTGTACAGATGCCTTCCATTGTCCACCTTGTTTTTCTGCCTGGGCGCAGCCGTCCTTTGAAGTTGCTGTAATTTTATCAGAGATTATTGCAGAAAATCAAATCCAGAAAGCACCCACATATAACAGATTCAGCAGGATTCATTAACTTCTTTATGTACATAATAACACATGAAGTACATTTACAGTACCAACAGCAGATTCTTCCAACATGGTAGAAAATTACAGGCAAAAACACAAGCAGAGGAGAGCAGAGAACGGTTTCAGCTTTGTGCAGCTTCAGAGCTTAAAACAGAGCCATGCCCAGGCTCCTTCCAGTTTCAGTTTCCAAACGGTCTTTTTCCATGATGGCGAACAGGTGGCACGCAGAGCCATTTGGGCGGACATGCAAGCCCCAGCCAAACGTACCTGCACTGTGCAGGTGTGTGCCTCCCAGCTGATTTTCAGCCCATTTGAGGCAAGGTCGAAGTCTCTGCAGCCTCAGGAGGCCAGAAAACAGGCCTTCCGGAAACAACGGAAGTGCCAAAACGGGCCCATTTTTTGGCCTCCCGAAGTTCCAGAGGCTTCCCTCGAGCCTCCAGGAGCGCGAAAATGGCTTCCCCCGGGCTCCAGAGCCCCCCCCCCATAGGCTGAAAACGGGCACTTCTGCTATTTCCGGAAGGCCCGTTTTTCGGCCTCCCGAGGCTGCAGAGGCTTCCTTCGAGTCTCTGGGAGGGCGAAAACAGCCTCAAATGGGCCAAAAATCAGCTGGGAGGCAAATGCATGTGCAGTGCAGGTAAGTTTGGCTGTGGCTCGCATGTCTGCACCAATGGCTCTGCGTGCCACCTGTGGCACACATGCCATAGGTTCGCCATCACGAGTCAAGTTGCTATGCCTATTCATTGGCTGACCTTGTTGCCATGCCCCTGCCAGTTAATGAATATTCTGACAAATTTATCTTCCTTTTCCGTCTCGGTTGGGTTTGCAGGCCACCAAAGGACCATCACAGATTACTTCAGGAGTATATCCCGCATCTCGCCATGCTCCAGTAACATGGCGGAGAGCCTCAAAGCCAAAGTTGAGGAACCTCTGGAGAATTTCGCTCACGGCTCGGCGTCCGACTCGGACGACTCTTGCAGTCTTCTTGACGATTGGACGGACATGTCGGCGATCCCCAAGAAACAGTTACGTTTCTCCTGGGGACCTAGTGACTTTGACGGACGCCCTGGCCAAGAGGTCCAAGAACAGAGACCATGGTTGGTGAGGCTTCCTGAAGAGAGCTCGGGTGATGGAACTGTCAAAGAAGAAGTTCAAGACGTTGAGGTGGATCCACTTCCCGATGTCCACTTTGGGCTGTTAGGAACCACATCGGGGGATGACGTGCCTCGGGGAACCCTGGACAAACTGCCTGATGAAATTCTTCAGGAGATCTTTGTCCTGCTACCTGTGGTTGATCTCCTCCAAAACCTCCCTCAGGTGTGTCGGCGTTGGAAGCGTATCGTCTCTGACGTGAAGGTAAGGAATGGTGTTACCTCAGGAATGGCGGAATGGACCTGGGCCAGACCTTGGTCTCCCTTAGCAGGGTTTCATCCATGATTTAATTATCATGGTCAAGGTCCTTCTTCTGCTTGGAACCCTTTTCCATTTGGCAACTATATTTTAGGTTGCAAGTAGAAGATTAGAATAG